TCTATGGTTGGCCGATGGGCAAAATGTGCTGGCGTATCCGTCAATGAACATGTCATTTTACGGACCGATAGACATCCTGTGTTTCTATATGGTATTCCCCCAAAGGGGAAACCCACAGCATATATCTGGTGAATAAAATATAGTATTAAAATTTGACTGCAAATAAAAATCAGATATGAATACTTTCCACTAATGTGAATTAAGCATGAATACTTTTAAGAAATCACGGTTGGAAATATTTTCTAGAACGGGTATCTATGAAAAGGAACAGTTTGATTAAACGAGAAACATTTTACATAGGCATTTGTATTAAGAAAAAAAAGGCCCTAATGAGTTGGATAAAACATGATGCAACATGGCAAGCAAAGAAATCACTACTACCCGATTTATTTGAATATAACTTGAGGTTTTCGTTTTCGGCACAATTCTTTAAAATCAGGTGTCACTATAATTATAACCAAAGGCTGAGCTACAATAGTCAGCAACATTTCTGTAACACTTGAGCCAACCAACATGCTCCGACATGTCAGCCGTTTCTCCTAGCACGCCAGTGCAAAGTGGCGACGTTTAATGCCAGAACACTGGTGCTTGATGCAAGAAGAATTCTGACGACAATATTCATAATTTTCTAATATTAGAAAAAGACATGAATACTTCGCACAGTAAAAGTGTGCTGCAAATCAAATCAAATGGCAATCCCTATTTGCAAATTATTTTAAATTTTGCATATTCACACATCTCTACTTTATTGACCTTGCAATATTTCCAACAGTCATGCGCCATAAGCGTGTGGCTACTGTTGGCTACATTAGTGCAATAATGTCATCCTGGAGATTTGTGTGCATTTTTTCTTTTGCTTTATTAGGACGCTGTTGTTGGTTGCATTACCATAAAGATGTCATCCTGTATGCTCTTAGTGTATTTTCTTTCTTGCTTTGTTGTTTTGCAGTGTCTATTATTTTCTGTGTGTGGCCATTGCTGGTGATTACTGTTAATTGATTGTTAGCAAGTTCGAGGAAGACATCCCTGTGCATTCTCTCAACGACACATGGACCTGTGCTTCTGTCACTGGCACACCAAGGAACACCGTAAATAAATAAATAAATGTGCATGATAATCTTGGGTATTGCCAATGTTCCTCGAAATTTAATGGGAGAATGTCAAACAAACTAGCAATATGTGGACGGCTTCAATAATTTTGCGAAAGTTAATATATAATATAATGCACTTGGCTTTTAGGCCAAGTGCAACCTGTGGCATGGAGGAGTACTCAAAGCAGGCAAGCATTTTGATTTGAGGGGGAGGGGGGAGAGGAGGCCCCAGCAAAATGGAAGATTTTGCTGGGGCCTCCTCTCCCCCAGCTATGTATTTCGAGGGGGGGGGGGGGGGGGGCGTGCCCCATGCCCCCCCCCCCCCCCCCCCTCTCCTAGCAGGATACTAAAAGTATCCTGCTATTTAATATTTAAAATAAAAAGAAAAGATAATGGTGGTAACTGTAAATACATATTGTCCAGTGTGCATCACCCAACCACCAATCAGGAAAGGGCCAAGCTCCGCCCATGTTGGATCAGGCATAGAAATTTCATCTTGTGCAGCACCCTACTCTTGCTAAGCTATCGCAGTAGATGCCAGAGATTTATATGGCCCTGGCAGCACCCACCCGCTCCCGCCTGCCCCCTGCTTTACTGGTTGGTTGCAATCTTGGGGAGTGAATGGTGGTGGTGGTGGTGGGGGCTACAAAAGACGTAAGGGCCCCGGGTGCCGGATGGCCTAGCTACGCCACTGCTCATAGTAGTTCCTTTTTTAGCCCTCTAACAAGGTCCAGATTTACACAACTGAAGCTTGATACATCCCGTTAAAGCAACAAAAAATGGAATAAAACTTATTGTTCTTGCTTCCTTCCGACCCACCCCCCTTCATATCATTTATAATTGGAACATCCGTTGCCTTATCAACTTCCCAAGTGAAAAATGCTGTCTCTATCTAGCACCATTGTTTAAAGTTACTATATTGTTGTAGGCTTCCTCCTTGCCTCACTTTTCACTCACTAATGATACCTCAATCTCATATGCCAATACTCATTAGAAACTTTCATTGCCCCTTAGTTCAGCTTCTGCATGTTAGCATAAAAACCTTCCTTAATGAGGCCCATGTAAATCGGCCCAAAAGCATTGTAACCCTTGCAAAGCCTCATGAAGAATGTATCCATCTATCAACATACAACTCTTTCCTGCGGCCTACTACAGTAAAATACAGTGAGAAAGTTCTGTTCCTTGTGCACAGAGTCAATGGTGTCATGGCACTGAGCTCTAGCATCGTCTGCCAGTTGTAACAATGGCTGCCGTTACTCTTCTATGGCTGTTCAAGTCCACCAGTTCTTTACGAACAAAGATGCAGTTTTTGAGAAAGAGAAGAAATACCTGGAAAGGTATGTTGTTTTTGTCGTCTAACAACTACCAGACATGCTACAATGAAGAACTACACACTGAGATAAAGGGCGTCAGCAGAGGTGGAAGCTTCATCGTGCAAGTAATCACTCTTCCTCACCTTTTCGTGCCTCTTTCATGCACGGAAGGACATGTTTAAGTCTACTTGCCTGCCATATCCACGACACCAATAGTGTGCATCCAATCCCCGTTAAACTGTTTCACATTTGCGCCACCAGGCCGCGAACGTTTTCGCTGCACGTTTCGAGAAGCGTTTGATCCCCTTTTTCTAGAATGCATGTCTTTGCCACTGGCTGGCATCACCTCCCCTGCTCCTCTAGAGTTGCGAATAGAATTTGAAGGTAGGAATGGCAGTTCGAAACAGGATTGACAAATTAATTTTCATTACTAGATACCCCATAATAACTTGGTGGCTGGCGGTCATTTTTTGGTTGAAGAAATTCTGAAGACATGCTAGGTGGTATACTTTTACACATATATTTAACGATAGAGAATGTTGCAACCGTTAAGCTTACATGATATTCATTTCCCTTTTGCCAACCAATAAACTAACAAATTAAACAGCACTGCCTGCCTGTTATTATGTTTCCTAGGGAAATTTGCGATATAAACTCACTACCGATTGTTCTTGAAGCGCGCTCACAACAAGCCGTGCAAGCACAGCAGACAGATAAAACTTTGAAAACACTTGTCACACCAGCCGACAAACGTAACAATGCTTTCTCTTCAAGCCAGCTTTTCTTTAATTGCTGAACTGCTTTTTTTTTTCAAAGTAACAGCACCCGGCTCGACTCATACAGCCTACTCCTGTTTTTTATGTTTTTTTTTTCTTGGAGGGGGCTGCGCCTTTAGATGCCAGTCTCGCCCTTTTTGAACACAAATGTCTGAAAACACAATCGGAAAGCTTACGTTGCCACCTGCTAAAACTAAGCAAGCAAATCTAGAACGAGCATCACAAGAATTGAAGATGCATGCTGATTAACATCAGAAGAAAAAAAAGGTGGATACCACATTTAGATGAATTATTTAAGAGCTATCTTGCCATTTCTTCCTGAAAAGTTGTGGCGATTGTGAAAAGAGCAAACTGCTCTTTTCACAGCTGCTTGCTGGCTGTTCTGGTTTCTCGAAAGAGAAAAGAAGGTCATGCCATGACTTCACTAAAAGTGGACTTGAGAGCTATTGCACCTGCTGCTGATGTTTCTAAGTGCACAGCCTAGCTTGAGGGCCATTTCACAAGTGCTTCGAAGATGGGAAATGATCACGGCATCTAACAACTGCTCTGCATACCTTGGGCAGTGCTTCCAAGTATCTTGGAAAAAAGCTGGCAGATTTCTACTGCAGCTGACGGTTTCCACACCAGCTTGCGAAGCACAAAATGGAAAGTGTAATAGCTTTGTTCTAAAGGCAGCGTACCATACATTTTTTATGCTACTGTAAGATAAACTTGAAAGACAAAATGGTCCAGTCTATACACCGAAATGCTAAAATGAACATTAATTTAGTCGACTGCACCGTGTCTTTGACTATACAGAAAAGTGGACCCCCACTATAATTATTTCTAAAACTATTACTTTCGGGGGACGCGTGTTACGCAACTGTTATTTTCCAGAATTGTTGTTTCTGCCTTCCGAAGCAAAGTAGTCAAGTAGCCACCTTGATGCAAGCTAGCATAAAATATGATACGGCTGTCGGGGAAATAAAAAAAAAAGAGAAAAGGAAGCACACCAAGGCGCTCTCTCAGTACGCGTCAGCAACGTTGAAATCGACTCTTTTTGTGTGCAGTTCATCGATTCTTCACTCTCCCGTTTGTCGGTTTTGCTGTCGCCGGCGTGGGCCGGTGACGACCGGCCTCTATCTGCGCGAATTACTCACCGGCTCGATCAATGCGCTTACGTGCGGCTTTCGAACGACCTGGACCCATGGTTTCGACACGGTATTTCTCTTCCGAAAAGACACCACCGTAGCACTCATAGCAGTCGCTGAAGCGGCTCCCTTTGATAGCAGCAGCACTCGAAGCGGACAGGACACGAATCTATCGGGAGATCAATCGTTGTACCTGCTGCGAATCATAGAATTTTAATTACGGCTTCAACAAAAAGAAGAAAAAAAATTGTGCAGGCGGGCCACGAGCGTGGGCGCGTGCCACACGTGCCTGGTTGCGCGGTCAGAGTCGGGCCAGAGTGCCACCGGTGACATCGTTTCAGTCGATGCACTGCCGGGCGAACTTTTTTACCTTGGAGTGTTTGGAGTCACGCAGAGCCCCCAATCTGTCCAATCAGTCATCGGTCGCGAGGTACGGCCATGTATTGATCTCCACTGCTTGGAAGGGACGCTAGGGACGTCTTGTCACCGAGAGCGCCGAGCGCGTCCTCGCTTCAAGTATGGGACCCAGTCCCGGGAAAATATCGCATTTGAGATCAACAAATCGGTCGATCGCCTTGAAGAAAACTTGTCAGCCAATTGGGAATTGTTCAGGAACAAGGTGTTGCCACGATTCGACCGTGATGAGAATACGAAAACCACAATACCAGGAAAAATAAGCATTCGACTCACCGCGAAGGTGCGTTGATCGCACTCTCTCTGAAACTGGCTGTGATGAACTTCCGTCGGCAATTTCTCGTACAGGCCTGTCTTCATGTCTAATAACAGACGCCGAATTTTTGAAGCGAGAGTTCAGTCCTCATTTTAAACAGCCGAGAACAAGAGCACGGGTCTGCATTGATGCAGCGTCGCGACGCACCGCAAGGGGTTTCGACATTGCGTTGAGACCTTTTGCTCTGGTCATGCTGCTTTCTGTCGTAAGGCGGTAAAGGTGGCACTAGTGTTCAACCCGCACACGTTGCTTGCTCCCGCCCGCCGCCAGTCACCAGCCAACAAGGAGGCCGGCCAACCTCTGTGCCAGCCAACACACTACCAGGCGCTACTGGATCACGGATCGGGAGCCCGTCGGTGGCTTTGCTTGACAACTTTACAATATACGCAAGGCCTCCTACTTTGCCCAGGAGGCGCTGCGCTACGAAAAACCTCTGCAGAAAAACGGCTGGTAGCGCCCCCTACAATTTGTTTATCGGCATTGTGCATAGTATTGGTCGTGACCTATATTGACGATCCAAATCGAAAGTCCCAGTTTTGCTGGATATTCCAACAGGCTAGTTTTAAGCTGTACCCTTTCAATGGTTCACGCATAATACCATGCTCAGACGGATCAAGCTTCCGCAACCAGCTGCTTTGTAGACAGCTGGTTGCGGAAATTTACGCCGTCTGTAACTATCTCTACGGCAGCCGAGCTGCTTGAAGTCATCGCAACTATAAACTACAGGTTGCAGCATGGTTGGGTTGCAGCGACCAACGTTTGTAGATAAACGCTGGTAGCGACTGCATTCTTGCGTTCCCACCCATCACTCCGAACAGAAAGGCGCTAGTTTCGGTTTGAAGTCGGTACCTTTTCTACAACATAGATGGCGGCAGCATCAGCCTTCTGCACTCGGTGCCAGTGTTGCGGAGTTGCCACTCCGGAGTTGGAACGATTCCGGAATCATTCCGCATTTTCTCGACCTCGGAATGGAATGGGAATGGAATGGCGGCAATGTTGAAGGGAATGGAATGGGAATGAAATTAGGTGCCTTTTGCCCGGAATGGAATGGGAATGTACTTAATATTTTTTTTTATTTATTTATTTATTTACGTTCAGCTATTTCAAGCCAGTCAGCGAGTCAGTTGTTCAGAAATAAAATGAGCGGGAAACTGCGAACCCGCGTAAGGCCCTAAAAGACTTCTACGCAAAAAGAATGCAATAAAAAAGCGTCAAAGCAAAGAACAAAGGGGGGCGGCGGTGGGGCCTTTCACCAGTGAAGTTCAACAGTAATCCGAAGGCGTCTGCGCCTGTGATATTGCACGACTCAAGGGTACGTCATCAGCCGACGTGAACGTGACCCACAGCTCTGGTGATCCGATACCCAGGAACGAGGCCAGACGTGGCCTCGCTGTGCGGACCCAGACTTCGTACACCTGCGACTCGTCTAGAGCGCGCTGTTTCTCGGAGGGCTCGCACCTGTGCCGGCTATCTCAGCTCGCAATCCACGAGGTCTCTGTTTGATTGATGCTAGGCGAAACTTGAGGACTGCCATTCATGCGCTGGAGGCGGAGGGTCGGCAGGTATGACCGTCACAGCAGGGATGCCACCGTATCGAATTTTCAACCGTAACAGAAGATAAGACGTGCTTCAGGATGCTTCAGGTGGTCCACTTTTCTCGAAAATTCCCAATGCAACTTCCTGCATGGCCTTCAACGAGGTCACCTACAACGAAAGTACGTACTGTCCTTTCATACAGCAGCGTGGGTAAAGAGATAAGATAATCCGCCAACCAAAAATTGAAACAAAAAAAGAAAAAACCTTCAAGCGTGGGTAAAGTTTCATGTTCAAGGCAACACCTACAGATACAAGAATACTAGCAATACTAGTTCATCGCACCGTGACGTCAAGTGATCAGTGCTGACAGGGGCGCTCTTATTGGACAGGGACGTGGTGGTGTTTTGATGAAATTTGTTTAGAGGTCGAGATTTTTTCGCAAAACTGGTGAGACAGACAGGATGCCAGGGAAGGGAGCGCGGTCAATCCTTGATGGAACGTTGTTTGAACCAATCGAAGACTCTTCGTCCGGAACCACTACCTTCAAGGCGAAGTGCCAAGCCTGCAGGAAAGTAATTTCGGGACAACAAAAAACTTCCACTTCAAGCTTAAAGCCTCATCTCAGTTGGCGTCTCAAAGAAATTTGAAAAATGTATTGCATTATCAGTATTTGTATTTCTGCGCTCCCTAAAATGTATTCTTGTATTTGTATTTCCAAAGACTTTTTGCCTCCTTTTAAAATGTATTTCCGATACGTATCGCGATACATTTTTTCAGATATATTTGAGACTTGAGTATCACTATTGTAGCAACTATTTTCATCTATCCCAGTATTTGTGTTTCCAAATACATTTTTGAATATTTGTACCCAACCCTGCAACGCAATGCAGCTGTTAAGTGACAATTTTAACGTTTAGGAATTAGAGCCATTCCAGGAGTGGGAATGGGCCCAGTGTCCCCATTCCTAGGAGTTGAAAGGAATGGAATTATCGAAAACTCTAATTCCCCGGAATGGAATTGGAATGGAATGGAGATGCCCATTCCGCAACACTGCTCGGTGCATTTGGCGAGTTCGTTCGAGTCCAGTTTTCCGTGCAACACTGGCAACACTCTGTGAGTGCGATGCATTCTGGGAGAGAACTCGAACGGTGCCAGTGCGTGTGAAACGAACTCGCTATAAGAAACCGAATTTTCCGGTCGATTTAAAGAGCCTGGCGTCTCCTTGTAGTATACCTCGTTGCACTGTAGATTGTACTCAAGGAGGATATTGTACTACAGTCACGGTGTGGCGGATGCAGGAATTTCCTGAGGGGGGGTTCAGGTGTTGGTCAGCGTACCATATGTTCAGGAAACCCCTCCCCCTTGTTGTGTTTGAGTATTGTTTCAATAAATAGCGCGAGGCGGCGGGCAAAGAAGTGAGCGCGCGCCTGGGATGTGCGAGACGAAACGAATGCACGGGACATTAAAACCGTTTGGCTCTGGAAGCTACATCGGCTGCACCTCGTCCTGTCTCTTGTCGTAAGCACCGTGGTCGTAAGCCACAACATAATTGGCGACGCTCCGGTTCCTGAGAGCCCAGAAACGCTCCGATTCCTGAGGCCACGACGAGCCCCGCCACGCTCCTGAGGCCACGACGAGTCCCGCTACACTCCTGAAGCCCCGCCACGTCAGGCGTGAGTCGAGCTTTTGTGGGAACTTGACCACGGGGACTCCGGTCTGCTTTGAACTTTTCCTTTTCTTTCTTTATTGTTGATAACTACCTCCTGATTTCCTTTCATTATATTATTACGTATGTACATGCCTTTGTCTCACCTGGTCTTGTCTCAATCATTTCGCGTGTCGGATCGGGCGAACGTGACAATTGTGGCAGGCTCGCCGGTCCGACACGCGAAATGATTGAGACAAGACCAAGTGAGACAAAGGCATGTGCATACGTAATAATATAATGAAAGGAAATCAGGAGGTAGTTATCAACAATAAAGAAAGAAGAGGAAAAGTTCAAAGCAGACCGGAGTCCCCGTGGTCAAGTCCCCACAAAAGCTCGACTCACGCCTGACGTGGCGGGGCTTCAAGAGCGTGGCGGGGCTCGTCGTGGCCTCAGGAATCGGAGCGTTGCCGGGTTCTTCGTGGCTTGAGGAACTGTAGCGTTTCTGGGCTCTCAGGAACCGGAGCGTTGCTGGGCTCTCAGGAACCGGAGCGGGGCCGGTTACGGTGAGGCTTCAGGAGCCGGAGCGTGGCCGGGTTCTCGGGAACCGGAGCGGGGCCGGTTTCGGTGAGGCTTCAGAAGCCGGAGCGTGGCCGGGGTCTCAGGAACCGGAGCGGAGCCGGTTTCTGTGAAGAATTCAGTAGCCGGAGCGTTGCCGGCTTCAACAAGCGGCGGGTCAGAACTCCCGCACCTGCCCGTCGTTTCTCGCGATCATCTTCCACTCTTCTTTTTCTTCTTTTCTTCCCAGCTCCACACCCGTGACAATGCCCCCCAACTTTGAGAAGTTCATCGTTGAACTTCTTCTACACCGTCAATCTTGAAGTCCATTCGTAAAGTCTCCGACTGACGGTAATTCCTGCCGGCACTTGCGCAGCACTCACTCTTGGCCTGGGCGATCTCGAGCCTTGGCAAAGACCGCATCTGTTCTCGTAGTACTCGCACGCGCAGCACCTGTCTACACTCTTGACCGCTCCCGATGTAACATAGTTCCTTCGTTTCACACTCGCGCACAAAATACAAAAAAAAAAATCATGCGTGAAGAACTTCGAAATAAAACTCAATTCACATTAAATTGCGTCCCTTTTCCCCCCTCAAAAAAAAAAAAAAAAAACATGTTTGCACTTTGAAACCATGCAGTAACTCGATCCCCGTATTACCCCAGGCGCTATTGAGCAAGAAGAAAAAAAATAGGCACGAGGGCATTCTATGTCTAAATTCCTTATTTATATCCGACTTAAGTAGTCTGCACCTACATTATCCTTCCCCTTAATGTATTCGACGTGAAAACTATAGTCTTGCATCTTCATGCTCCATCGCATGACTCGACTATTGGTGTGTTTAGCCTTATTTAAGAATTCCAACGGCTGGTGGTCAGTTTGCACTCGGAAATGCTTGCCATATAAATATAGTGCAAACTTTTCAACGGCCCAAACTAGTGCCAGGCATTCCCTTTCAACCGTGGCATAGTTCTTTTCCGCCTTGCTTAACCGTCTGCTTGCGTACGCGACAGGGTGCAGTACGCTATCTTTTTCCTGTAGAAGGACTGCTCCCAAACTGACGCTTGAGGCGTCTGTACGTAGCACAAATTCCTTGTCTAGGTCGAGAGCCATGAGGATCGGAGGTTTACACAATTCCTCCTTCAGGCGCTTGAATGCCCTTTCCCGCTCGTCGTCCCACTGCACCTCGTTGCGAGTTCCCTTTTGGGTCAACACTGTCAGAGGAGCCGCCACCTCTGCGTAGTTAGGGATGAATTCCCTGTAGAATCCAGTCAAACCCAGGAAGGACCTGACCTGTCGTTTTGTTGTCGGCCTTTGTGCCTCTTGGATCTTCGTCAGGATCTCCTGTCTTGGGGCTACTTGGCGTGATCCTAATCTGTGGCCGAGAAAGCTGATTTCGTGAAATCCAATTTCACACTTTTTTGGCTTGACTGTGATCCCCGCATCGCGCAGCCTTCCGAATATAGCCTTTAGTGCATCTATGTGCTCCTCCCACGAGTCCGTTGCCACCAGAACATCATCGATATAGTGGTGTGCATTCGGTATGCCTCTTAGTAGGATCCGCATCAGCTTCGTGAAAGTCGCGGAAGCTGTCTTTAAGCCGAACGGCATGAATCTGAAATGATA